CCTAAAGTAGCGGTGATAATACATATTCCAACTGTTATCTTCCTTAGGAGTTTTTACTCTACTCAATGCCCGACGATAACGGGCATAATATCTGACCTGAAGTGTCTTGAAGACCATTCCTGTGATCTGACAATTGCTATTCTGGCATTTTGGATCGCAATTCTGGGCTTACAGTTATTACTATAATGACATTTCAGAATCCAGGCAGTTGACAGTGTAAGAAGTCATTCCTCGAGGACTTTAAAAATTTGCTCTTGGCAACGAGTCCTTGTGAGTGCCACGATAGTAACAGAAAAACCCAGTTTTCTGTCCTATAGAACCGGTGATTATAGCGGCTTTATGGCCGAGGCTTATCAGAGAAACAAGGTAATGAACAGTGAGACCGTATATACGTAGCAAATGAAATGGGAAATTATTTAAATACCCTAAAGTTTGGGTACAAAAATCGCGCGATATTTCAAATGGGAAATACAACCAATAGGAAACCAGAAATCCGCAAATTACGAAAATGTGCAAAATATAGAACTGCACAAATTGCGGAGTTGTGAAAAAGTCAGACCGTGGAAGATAGGCTTTTTTCCCTTTTTAGACCGAAAAGCAGCCGTTTTCGGCAAAGAGCACTAAAATAAGGTAAACTAAGCTAAACGAAATAAACTGAAAATGAAGCTAATTAAACTAAAAACCTGAACTAAGACTATACTGCAACCCAAACTAATCTAAATAAACTATGGTAAACTAAAGCAAGCTAACTAAACTGAAAACTAAACCATCCAAAACTAAACAAAAAGTAAATTAAAATAACCTGACTAAACTTAAAACCAAATGAAAACTAATAAAATTAAAATTAACCACAGGACGCTAAAGAGCTCCATGTGCGAAGTGCAGTGGAGGGTTAAATGCTGAATCTGTACTAAAGAAAAGCCGTATGAACGTTATGTCCGTAAAGCACCCCAATCTACGATTATATGAAATTGTAAGACAAATCAGGCTCACTATATCGCAATAAAGAGGTATTTATGGGAACTGAACTAGATAGTGTTTCGTAGAAGGAATCCTTACCCCTAGAGGGTAATATGAGAGTGCCAGGAAGCAGTTCAGAAGAAGAAGATGTGACCACTGGAACAAGAGTTTGATTGTCCTGAAGCTTCGGATTCCGTCAGGAATCCTTAATCATAGGTAATGGTATCATAGTCATAGTCATACGCATGAATCCAAAACGTCAGGACAATAAAATTCTTGTTCCAGTGGCCGCATCTCCTTCTTCTGAATCTTTACCCTGTTGTTGTTTGCCAAGAGAGCAATGTAAAGGCGGGAAGTGTCCTGTTTCCAATGCTTTTTGCTACATGTTCTCGTTTTAAGTTCATCTTGACCAGAAGCGATAAATGAGACACCTTGTTTAACTTCTGCGCGCGATAGCTTTACCTTGTGACTTCTTCAACCTCCTCCGCTTATTTTCTAAATCTTTGAAGGTTATTTCTTCCCCTGGAACCGGATTTGTACCCCACGAGACCGGCAAATACCAACCACGAACCACTGACTACTCCCCGTCCGCCTACACACAAAGCAAGGTGTTGAGTTCCAGTATCCGTCGGAAGGTTTAAT